CTTCGGGGGGTTGTTACGGAGCTTAGCACAGATTTCACAAGATCTAACTAGTTCTTCTATGTCATGGTTCATCCCTTCCCAGTACACATACCGCCTTGCAAGTTGTTTCATTTTTGTTATACCGATATGTGTTGTGTGAAGTTCTCTCAAAATTGAATTTTTGAGGCTCTGTGGAATGACAACTCGATCTTGCCAAAAGAGAATTCCATCAAGAAGGGTGTAGGGTGTGTCTTCGTTGCTTGTTTGTAGAGTTTTCATAAGAGATTTGAGATGAGAATCGTTTAATGTTGCACTTGCAATGGTCTGATTCGTGATAGCAGTTGAAGAAATTTGGAAAAGTGACTCAGCATACAGAAGGTGAACTTCTTCATTTATCTTCATATCAGTTGATCTTGAGTCTTGAGACAAAGGTGCTCGAGATAAACAATCAGCATTTTCATTTTCATCTCCTGATTTGTTTTTCAACTTATAATTGAATCCAGATAGAAATGAAGCATATCGAAGTAATCGAGCTGTTGTCATTTTCGGCAAAGAGTGGTCATGACTAAAGATTCTGCTCAAAGGCTTATTATCTGTGACAAGAGTGAACTGGCTTCCATACAAGTAGTTATGAAACTTTCCAACAGAAAATATAATAGCAAGTGCCTCTCGATCTAGTTGATTATAATTTTGTTCTGCAGGTGTTAGTGATCTGGATGTGTAAGCGATAGGGCGTTCATGACCATTTACGATGTGGCTAAGTATTCCCGCAATGCCAACAGGGCTTGCATCGCAAGAAAGTACAACTGGCAATTTTGGATCATAAGGAATCAGGACTCTGTCACTGCAAATCTCTTGCTTGAGCTTTTGGAAGGATGATTCACATTCTGTCGTCCATTGAAAACGGTGTTTCTTCTTGAGCAACTCCCTTAAGGGACAGGACAACGTAGATAGATTTGGAATGAAACGTGAGTAATAAGTAATCATTCCAAGAAATCTTCTGACCTTATCAGCGTCGTGCGGTCTTGACATTTCCATCACTGCCTTTATCTTCTCGGGAGATTTGCTGATTTTATTTTGCTCAATCAGGTGTCCTAAGTATTCAATCTTTGTTTCAAAAAATGTACATTTCTTTCGATTTAGATGTAAGTCGTATTCTGTTAGTCTTCTTAAACACATTCGAAGGTTGTGAGCACATTCTGCTTGGGTTGCTCCATGGACGACTATGTCATCGAAATAAGCTTCACACTTATTAAGTCCATTGAGGATTTGTGACAAAATTCTGTTGAATTCTGAGGGAGCGGTTTTTATGCCAAAACTGAGACGGTTCATGAGAAAGGTTCCCTTATGTGTTGACATAGTTTGGATTTCACTACTTTCTTTGTCTACTGCTAAATGTAAGTACGCTTTATAAAGGTCAAGTTTGCAAAAGTATTTGGAATTTCGGAGACTGTTAAGAACATCTTCAACCGTCCTTATAGGAAAATTAGCCGAGACTAACCTCTCGTTTACACCGCACTTGTAATCCACACAAAGTCTCAGTCCACCATCTGGTTTGGGAATGATGACGAGAGGTGATCCCCAGTCACTTGTCGCAATCGGAGTGATGATTCCCTCTTTTTCTAAAGATTCCAACTCCTTTTCAACACGTTCTCTAAGTGCATATGGGACATCACGTTCTTTTGTAAATACCGGTTTTGCGTCATCTCTTAAAGTTAATGAAACTTGAATGTTAGGAACACAACCAATTTTTTCCTCAAAAATTGAAGCAAACTCATTCAGAATGTTATTAATATCTTGAAAGTTCTTTCTGTCGCCATCAACCAAATGGACTTTTGGATTAGTTTTCATGTCATGATCGATTTGTTTTAGTTCAATGTCGAAAGCACGGATCAAATCTCTACCTAAAATAGGATCGTGGCCTGATGAAACTACATACACTTCTGCTTTTAAAGATCGTTCTTTATATTGTAATGTAACTTTAGCTTTTCCTTTACATGGCACAATATCATTGGAATAAGCTCGAAAATTTAGATTTGAAGGTTGAAGATCTATTCCCAAATTCAATGCTAAGAACTTATCCTCTGGTAAAATTGTGTACCGTGCGCCAGAATCTACTTCCATCTTCAGTTTCTTGTGGTTTATCGCTACCTACCTCTACTATGTACTTTCCATGTCCAGGTTCAATTTCGTAGAGGTTGATGATTTTCTTATCTTTGGATACTGAACTGATTATGTTGCATGCCCCGTAGGAACAATCAGATTGTGAGTCATTGATCATATCATTGTCAGAGAATCGGTTAACTTGTTTACTTGAAGCATATTTCTTGGTCAGGGTATTGATGCAAACTTTTTGAATGTGGCCATTCTTCTTACATGCTTCACAGAATAGTTTTTCACGCCTTATTCGACACTGGTTTGATCGGTGGTTAGATGTTCCACATCTGAAGCAAAGATTGTTGATTCCTAAGGACTCATAATCGATTCTTTGGCTTGATCGATGCTTGTATGATGGCTTTTTCCAGGGAGATGATGTTGATGATGATGATGATGATGTCCGAGTGGATGGATGATCGTGTCTAGTGGTCTTCTGAATTTTCATTATATCTGGCACTGAAGAACTAGGGATCAGAGGTTTTGAAATGTTTGAAAGTTCCTTGCACTGGATTTGGGCTGCTTCAAGAGCTATAGCTCTCCTGACTATTCCATCAAAGTTCTCTTCCTTTCCTTGTAAAAGTTGTTCTCGAATGCTATTATCACGAATGCCCCTAATGAATTGAGCCCTTAAGAAAATGTGAGCTGTTGAAATGTTTTCTATGCATTCACATTTTATGTAAAATTCACAGTCAGCAAGTCGTTTTTGCAAACTTGCAACATAGTCAGGTATGTTTTCACTTTCTGATTGGTAAGTAGAGAAAAAGTAATGCTGCGACACTACAGTATTCTTTTTAGGCGATAGCATTTCGCCAAAGGTTTCAACTAGCTGTTCATATTCCAAGTCTTTGATTTTCTTTGTAGGTCCTTTGAATGCAACTAAGTTGTTGTAATGGATAGAACCGATTGATGCACATAGAATTTGAGCTTTTTTAGTTTTGTTTGACACATTCTTCATGCTGAGATAGTTTTCAAAACGTTCAATATAGGCTGAAAATCTTTCTTTTTCTGAGTTGTAACTTTCAAATTGAGCAGTTGGATCTGGTGTGTTATCTTTCATTTTTTGTTCTAGTTTCTCAAACAACAGAAATAGAAGATCCATTTGTTGTTTCTGGCCTTCTATGAATTTGTCAAATTGTTCTGAGTTCATTTTGTTGTTGTAACTTGAATGTTCCTAAGCCTGAGATGTAGTTATTGTTATTTGAAGAAAAGGTAATTGAAAAAAATGTAACTGGTCATTAATGTATGAATAAACAAATTTATACTTTTACCTCGTCGCCAAAACTGTTGTAACTCTTTATAACATAATAAAAGATAAATCAGATAAAATCAGATAAAAAAGTGTATTATTCCATTAACATAGAATAGAAACTAAACATAAACAATAGTAATCAAAAAGAATAAAGATCATATGATCAGCTGGTAATTCAAATGCAGTCTATTAGAAATTATAACAGTATTATAATCCTAATCACTTTATAGCTCTGGAGATTGTAGTATATAGTACTTTTGAATGTGTTTGGGAAGATAATCAAATACGGTAATAGCAACAAACTTTTTGTAGGACATCCGGTATTCAAGTTGTGTTCTAGACACAAAATTCTGAATTATTTTAATTAATACGGTGGACAAACACCTAAAATTAGGAAAGGTAAGAATCACAAAATTTATGATTTTGGAATGTGACACACAAAGGATCTATGCATCCTTTCACACCAAACCTCCCATGAGTTGGAGACGAGACCTGACCATACGACGGAATTTGAACCCTCATTCTCTGGGGCCCTGGGGCTGTCTCCTGAGGCCAGGCGCACACAGGCGATTTTGAGTTGCGCAACAGTTGCCCGACTAATCGGGGGACTGTTGCGCAACTCTCTCGGAGACTCTAAAGTCTAGCGACAGTTGAGCTGGAGTGCGCACACAGGCAACTTTTTAGTCGCGGATCTAGTCTTGAGACGTGTTGGAAATACATTCGTTACAGCGTTCCGAATGGATTTCAATGATACAGCCGTAGTATGTGCTTTATTGCTGAAGTTTCGCTCGCGAAAGAAAAAGAGAAGATACTGGGTTCATCCCATATATAGTGAGCGACTTGTGAAAGGACAGTTTCAATGACTTTAAATATAGTCGGCCACTTCTCAACTTCGTCAATTAATTGTTCGACATCCTCATCACGCACACTCATACTTGTAATTTTCTAAAAACTTCACACAACAAGAGAGCAAACACTAGTGACAGTTCTGGCCACGAGTAGTTGAACTCCTGGGGTGAGACTGAGCGACACAGCGACTATTTAGTTGCATGAGTGCGCATCTACACTTGTTTTATGGATACCAAACCTGGAGCGACAGTCCCGCAACAATTCAGTCGCAGAGCAGTCGCTGGCAAATTGGGTCCGGGAACATTGGTTGCAACAGTTGCGCGACTGTCCCCAGACTGTTTCCTTCGTGTGCGCACTCCAATTTAAAACAATGTTGAACATTTTAGTCGGGCAACTGTTGCGCGACTCAAAATCGCCTGTGTGCGCCTGGCCTGATTGGATCTGGGAAAAACCCCTCAGACTGCTCGTTTAGTGATCATTACCTTTAAACAGTCTTAACAAAAAATCACTTTGGTTTGACAAGATTTATCCAAAGCGTAATACCTTTGTAATACTTTACGATAGTCCTATATACTGGACTCCTAAATTGCAGCTCATGTCAAGCAACTCATGGCCATTGTAGGCCTAACAATGGTTATACTCAAAAAGATACAGTACAGTAGTTGTAAGTGTAAGATTGGTTATGTTACTCCCTTGTCTAACTTACAGCCTTTGTAGCTCAAATAGCAAAATATGGTAATATGTTAGCAATAAAATATATTCTTACCAACTTCAACAACATGGTGCTCGTCAGTCTGGGGCCTATAGCTATGGATGGAATGTTTAAAAATGTCAACGTAGAAAAGAGTCTGATTCTCTTCATCCCAATAAGGTCCTTCTCCAAGGTCAAGAGCTGGGCCGATTGGAGTGACAGTAGGAGCCATCTAATACAAGTTATTTATATATTAAAAGGAATTCAAAACTTAATATATTGTAAGAGTGTAACTACAGGCTGATATTGATGTAAAACTAAAACCTGCTTTTCAAAATGAACAAGTAGGCTTAATAAGTTAAGTTAACATTTATCTATCAATACCGTTGACAATTGAATACTGAAGTTGACATCAGTTTTTCCACACAACCGAAAAGATATTACCCGCTCACTGGGTCCAGAAATCCCAGTTTTATCCCGCAAGATTTTTTGTTCAATTATGAGTGTTATACAGTGTTTAAATATAGTAGTTTAAACATTGCTATCATATTTTGCTACAGTAATTTTATTAATTTTAGGTAGTTAATCGCTAAAATAAAGCATTAAAAATAAAAATTTCTTAGCCAAAAATCCTGTTTTAGCCAGCATCTCGTTTTCCGGTAATAGCTCATGCTCTAAAAATCTTGTTTTCTGGATAATAATCCTGTGTATGGAAACACAGGTTGCGAACCATTGAATAACATTGAATTAAATGTTATGTAGACCAGCTGTCGCAAAATCTTTTTGAAAATTATTGCGACTAGGATGACAAAAAAAGAGTACCATACCTAGTAATTTATATAGGCTATCATTAGAAACTACATTTTTACCTGAAAACAATGATGCAAAGATTTTTCTGCTGTCACAAAAACTGAATAAAATACGATCGTTTTAATTTTATCGTTTTTTTTTTTTTACTGTAATGCCTCTTGTCTGCTGGTTTCTGTCGCCATGACTGTGAATTGACTAAACACAAACAAGAACGATTGAAAGGATTGTCTAGGGAAGAGGAAGAAACCTAAAGATGACAAACATTAAGTTTATGCAAAGGTAGGTAGGTAGGTTGGTTAGTTATGCGGATTCGTGACTGTATTAAGTCCTTTGAAGGTAGGTTAGATTAGGGAAGTTTAAGTTTAGGTTATAATAAATCCAGTTGTTGATTTATGTTATCTCCAGACTGTTTTTGCACTGTATAAAAAGTGTAAATACCCCCGCCGCTCTACAAAATGGTTGGGAAAAAAATTCTAAAATTTTATGTTTTTAGGGTCAAAAATGGGAAAAACCCATTTTTACCCCATAAAACCCCCCATAAACCCCTGTTCCCATGGTCCGATTATGCTGGATCCTGAACTCGTTCGAATAAATGTAGGTTTACACGTTTGTACCAAATTTCATCAAAATCGGATCATTTTTGCTCGAGTTATCGTGCTAACGGACACACACATATATATATATATATATAAATACAGGGTTTTCATAAATGAATGGTGCAATTTTAACTTTAAATTAAAAGAAAACTATATAAAGTACATTAAAAATATTTATTTCATTAGAATCTCCATTAAAAACAGTTTTATATACTGATGCATTTTACATTTCAATGTGTCCACCACCGATAGCTCTGCAGACATCTAATCTATGGTCGATCTCGGCCCATACGCTGTGGAGCATGTCTCTTGTAACCGATGATACTGCCTCATAAATCCTTTCCTTTAAATGAGCAACATCACGGATTTTCTGAGAATATACGATGTTTTTTACGTATCCCCACAGGAAAAAATCGCATGGAGTCAAATCCGGGCTTCTAGGAGGCCATGCTATTGGGCCACCTCGACCTATCCATCTTTGTTCAAAAACAGTTTTTTGATCAGAATCGAATATTTGAGGTTATTGCACAAATATAAATATATATATATATATATATGAATTTGAACGGATGGTGTTTTTGGCCTCTAGGGACCTCAAAACGAAAAAAAAAGTCGGTCCCGCGTCCAGGTCTTACCATGAGTACTACGGTAATAGCTTATTCCCTACCTATATGGGAAATTCGCTAAAACAGTCCCATAATCTGGAGTAAACATAAATCAACAACTTGATTCATACCTCGCGATTGAGATACCTCGTACGCTCTTGCCCCATTTATGCTCTTACCCCACCTCACCCTAGGCCTAGCCTACTTGAATTAACGTGTTTACTTGTCTAAGTGTGGGTTTTGAGGGTACGGTAATAAGTTTTTTGCTTTAAAATGGCATATAATCAATCAATAAACGTGACTTGGGCTATTATTTTTGATTTTACAGTGTAACTTAAGCACTGAAGTGCAAATTCACCCGCAGTAAAAATATAGTTTCTAATACAAATTACTATGGTTGGTAGTGTAGCCCATTAAACAAGAACTCAGGTTAATTGGTGAACAAGACAACATAAACAAGGCCAAACAAATTAGAATTAGGTAGGTGTACCAATAGAAAGGTTCAGGCTTCAACTATTTTAGACAGACAGTAAAAATGTTCTGGCTGCCATAATAATCAACTATGGAGGAGGGAAATAGCCACACCTATGAATAAAAACTAGAAACTACTTACCTACGTTAAGTTAAAATAATTAATAGGACCTAATGCTTTTGATAACGAATCACTTATTTTCTTAATTTCTAGTGAGTGAAAGAGAATCAGGATCAGTCAGCGAACCAGCACTAGCAGATAGACAGCACTGACAGCTGACAGCAGACGAGACAATGCCGCAGGGCGCAGACGACTAGAGTAGAGTAGAGTGAGTAGATCACTAGATAGAGGAGATACTGACAGTGACAACGACACTGACTTTGCGCTTGCACAAGAAAGACCCCACTACCACTCCACTTGCTCGTTTGACATCTACCCGGCATGCCGTTAACCCGACTTCTAGCCGGCCCGGCACCGGCACGGGTGCACCTATATTTAAGTGTACAAGTAAGTGTAGTGTAGTGGGGTCTTGGCTTACGGGGCGGGTCCGTATTCATTCTCATTTTTCATTATTTTCCTTTTTCCACTTTTTTTGCAGGCTTGACTATCGTGTAGCTTAGCATACAGAGTAGTTTATTACACAGATTCTTAATTTTATATTTCACTATACAGTATTAATATATTAGTAAGTGGTGAGACTGTATGGTAATTGCTTTTCTCAGGGATAATATATAGCACATTGTGAGTATAGGAGTTGTTTGTTAATCAATGATAATACATTTTCTTGAAGAATCTTAACTTTTGCATTTTCTTATCCAAACAAAACTTTTCTTTTAAAGAGGGTGAAATGATCCATTTTTATTAGCTCGCTATCTTATCCGGTACAAATTTTGTAATCAATTTTAAACTAACACTTCCCGGTAAGCTAGAGACTTGAAACATAGTTCACAAATGGATGACAATAATATATCTTTTAATTTTCATATTTCCATTTAATTTTCATAATTCATATTTCCCTTGGGATATGCCACGTTCGCCTTTATTAATAAGTTATAAGTTAGTAAGTTGTAAGTACTTCAGGCCGCGGCCTGGTAGAATTGACAACGTTGCAAGTGGTGTTGTCTAGCGCCCTAGCGCTAGACCATAGATGAAGTATTATGGTGTCTATTTATTCTATGGCTAGACGTTCCATGAGATAACATGGCAGGCAGATGACACCAACTCATTAATTTGCGTATAATATTTTTAATTTAAATTTATGAACATAAATTTATTTAAAAAAATGAAAATAAAATATATAGAATTGAAAACCAAAACGATGTTTAAATTGAAAATCTATTTTTGTACATTAAATTGGAGTCAATATTTTCACAGCCCAAACAAGCTTTTGTAATAAAATCAAATTAAAATACACAAATTACCATTAGCCGCCTCCAAACAAAACACAGCTGTTACAACCGTACTTGCGATGTTGCCACTTCTAAGGACACGGCCTGGAGTTAAAGGTGGCCGTGGCTATGCCCCATGTTTAGTTACTAATTAGCTCGTTTTCTTGTCCGGTACAAATTTTGATATCGATATCTATTTTAAAATAACGTCCTATGAGCTAGAAACTTGAAACATATATAGCTCACAAATGGATGACAATGCAATACTATATCATTTTATTTTCATTTTTTTTTTTTTTGGCTAAGCCACAAGCCCTACATGGGCTTCCAAATTTTCCATGTTTACATTTTGGAAGAATGTAAATATATCTAGCTAGGTTGAACAACGCTTCTAAACCTCACTACACACAAAACATTCGGAAATACAACAGTGCCATCACATATATAATCTCATTTGCATAATTTGTTGCCAACAAAGTCGGACTAGGTTAAGAATGTGGTTCTCAAATGTTCAAGATTTGTGGCCAAACTCACTACAATTGTTGTTATCTATCCCACCCAAAAAATAGGTACAACTTAATGTAATCAACAAGGTTGAATAAAGTTGAAGTTAGACAGCAACCTCATGGCACGATTTCACTAAACTACACCGTTTTATCTAAGACTACACCCAGAAAGTTGATCTAATCAATTAGCAAATAAGTACAGGATGATTAAATTGGTCGATGTGGCAAGAGAAGGAATCAAAATTGGTCAGACCTCCATCTACTTTGTATGGTCGCCATTTCATTTAAAAGTATTAAATTTAAGTATCGAAGTAAGAATGTTACTGCTTTCTGGAGAATCTGATATTTTTATCAAATACAAAAAGAAAACATATTTACTTATTTAGTAAGCCTCCCACTGATAAAACACTGCATTTTTATGACCAAAGATGGTGATTCACTTATACAATACAAATACAGTACAATCAAATTTATTTTATGTATGTTTCTTGTAAAGAAATGTATGCAATGCATTCAGAGTGAGTAGTCCCAAGCTCCTGGTGGAAGGGCGCTAATGGTGTAAATGTAGAAGCCCTCCATAAACTTAACTTCAGTATTCACATAATGTTTAACTGACTTAGTTGATTCAATATGAATAGATTTAATAAAAATACATTTAATTTTTTAACTAGATACTTACATCCGTAATATTTTTTTAACTATTTTGTGTCAGATGAAACATTTACCTTTTTGAAATTCCATTTTTGAGCAATTCATTTCAGTTTGAGCTCACCAAAGGATTTTCTTCTTACTTGAAACCACATAATTCACGTGTTCATGTGAATATTAGTGGCAGGTTAGATTATATCCCTCCGGTAATATTCAACCAGCGAATACATAACAAAATAGAAGCGCTACTCGGAGCGCAGGAGCGTGGCAGTCTGACTAGCCGACGAAACGGACAAAGATGGCGGCGCTAGCCTAGTCCCGGTCGTCTGCTATGCTTCGAGTCAATGTTGTTTACAGGCTTTGTTGAAATGTAAAAATACTTTTGTATAAAAAGGTAATTGAATGTTAGGTTTTTGGATAGGTTTTTCTTAGGTTTTTCTGGATGTACATTGTCGTATTAGTATATTGTTGGAAATGTCTTAAAGTAAATCGATTGTTTTTACCGTAGTAAATCAATCTTTTTATCGCGGAAGAAATTTTTGTTTACAAATATATATCTGTTTAAAAAACATCTTTGTTCACATTATAAATCTGTCATATTAGTGTTATTTTATTTCTTGTGTCACGACAAACACGATGGCATTTTGAACGACATGTTTAGCGTCTTATTAACGATGTTAGCATACGTTTAAGAAAAAACATCACCATAAAGGCTATTGTAAGAAAAAATTTTAAAATGCATGGAACTGTTAACAATAAACCTACCAATAAGCCATAACAATTTCAGAAAGATTGGCTGAGTGGTTTGTTTACAATTAAATTTTAAACTTCAGTGTTAGTGCAGAGTTTCTAAAAAATCGGTACTTTTTTGGATCTTTCGACTATATAAATTTTTCTGGTAAACGGAATTTTTTAAAAATTGTTACCACGTAAAAATGTATTTAAAAATGTAATTTTTGTCTTAACAAAATCTGATAATTCATCTCAAGAGATATTTAGGCTCAAACTCGAGTGCACATACATATTTAATTCCCCGACAGTAGTCCCGGCGCGGCGTGTGCAGCGCGCTAGTCGTCTGCTATGCTTGATGAGAATAGTGAAGATATAAAGTTAAATGATTTTAGTGTAAAGGAAACAATGTAATTGAGGAATTGACGAACAAAGTACTTGGACAATGTGTAGGTGTAAATTTGTTTCCAAATAGTACACATTTCTCAGGATATGAAACAATATGGACAAAAATCATTTTTGTTTAGTACCTAATTAAAATTATTGCTAAAAAATATTCCAATGTTAGAGTTAGCTACTACTGTAAAATAAGTAACGAAAGTCTTCACAAAAATGAAATCAGGCAACATCTCAATAAAACTGTAATTTTTCTGGGACAATAAATTGAGTGTAATTTTACAAATATATTTAGGAAGTTTAAATTAACTTACAGAATGATCTTTAGTTTATCTTGAATGATATTAAAAGCTAATTAGTCCTTAAAAAGTTGTGCTAAGCGGTTGAAAATTCTACATAGACAATATATTTGAAAATTTCTTTAATATATACAATATTACAGTACAACATTAAAACACTGCACGCTAAATATATAGAAGACGGCCGGCGGCGCAGCGGGCGTGGCGCGGAGCAGCGGCAATGGATCCCTTTTGTACCTGATTTTTTAGAAAACTGAACATGATAAAAATTTTTGGTGAATCGTATAGTTAAATTTAGTTATTTATCCACAACTTTCCCGCTGACGAAATTTCTCTGACCAAAAAATAAAAAAATTCCTCGCAATACAACTTTTTCATGTCTGAAATTGAAAAATTAAACTAAGTAATAATTAAACTTAATTATTAACTAATAATTAATTAATTATTAATTATTATTATTAATTATTAATTATAATTATTAATAATTAATTAATTATTATTTATTATAATTATTAATTATTTAATTATTATTAATTAATTATTAACTTAATTAATTAAACTTAATTAATTAAGTATTAAACATATTTATAACTCAATTACTATCGTAACTTATAGTTTTATATTAACACCATCGTTTTCCTCAGTATCATATCTACAAGTGTGCAAAATTTCAGAATTTTTTGTCAACTATTAATGTTGTTTATGATCGTGTATTTGTTGTGGGGTTTTTAATGCGAACTGTGCTCGCGGTCTTGGATTCAGGCTGTATGACGGACCAAGATGGGGGATTTGGCCACACTTTCAGTGGTGTCGTGCCAGAAGCGACCGTGCCAGAAGCGACCCGTGCCGGAAGCGACCCACCAATTTTCTTCCGTGCCGCTAGCGACCCAAGAATTTGGAGCGGGAGGCGAGATATGAACTATCGCCGATTCAACTTATATTCTTAACAAAAACTAAACCGAATTAAAAACCATGAAAGCGATTTGCTGTCACATTAAATACATAACAAAATACTCCCGCCGTATAATTCATACCAGTATACATTTACCAACACATATCCATAAATAAAATAAGCAAACTATAATTGTTTGTAGACTCCAGGTGCATTTATTTTTGGCCTATTTATTTTTTATTCGTTATTGTAGGTATGTGTGTGTGAAAGTTTATGTACGTTAGTAAACAATGATAAGTATTTTTTTCCAACTGTAATGTTTTGACAATGGCGTATACAAGCCGAAACATGTAAACAGCCTACTATTTGAGCTGTTTGTCGGATTATAAGGTATGTAAACCTATTTAGCACATTGAATATAACAGCTCAG